GAGGAGTCTGAGATGGTGTTCAGGTATAAGGATATATGTGACACAGTCTTCAGGAAGTATTTATATTCCAGTGCTGATTTAGGTGTTTATTCAGCAGGCTGTGACTATAGACTTAGAGGGTATTTGAAACGAATAATCTATAATTTGCTTTTGCTTATTGTCTGTTCAGTTATCACAAGGGTTTCCTAACAACTATTACATTCTTCTGTTTCATAACATTACCAAAGAAGTGCTGTAAATGTGTGCAGTGAACAGAGCTTTTCATCCACAGAAGAGAAATGGAGCCTCACCGTGCCAAGGAGGAGTGGCTGAGGCTTTGGCAATCCTGCCACATGAAAGCAGGGTTGAAACGACAGCAAAGGAGGCAGGCGGGCTGCTCCCACAGGGGATTAAAATCAGCAACAGCCCTTTATAAGAAAGGTTTATTCCCGCTCCTCAAATTCAAAACTCTTTTCTTGCCTCCTTTCCTTAACCCTCAGCAGGTTTGTTGAGCTGCCTGTTTTTCCTGTGCCCAGTGTCAGCCCTGGCAGATGGGCAGTTGCCAGGAGCTATGAAGAGGCAGGTAACCCCCAAGTATTTTTCTAGCTGTGCAAAATTTGGGACTGTACGATACATGGTTGTTACTAGCAGGAGTCTGAGACTGCTGCCCCTTCCACATGTAGGAGGCATGTTCCTTGCACAGTTTTACAAGGCATGTTTGAGAGCTAGCTAAGTTCTCTACATCTTATCACTAACTTACGTGTTAATACAAAAATCCCTCTAAGAGCATTAACCACAGGAAGAAAGCTGTAGCCAAGCCCCTCTGTTTGAAGATATAGTATGCCCTGTTTCCCTGGACAACTACGTAACTCCAGTCTTACCCAAGAATAGAGCTGAGGAAATGGTGGGACATTCCTGTGTCTCACCTGCTTTCAGGAGGCTTGCCTCATTGCTGGAGCAGCTAACCATCTTCCTGCTTTGGCTGGGTTATTTGATGTTGCATTGCCTTAAAGCATCTCAGTCACATCTTTCTCCAAAAATGTTCTGTTAAGTTGTTAAGTATTGGACTTTATGAAGTTGAGCCATCTGAATTCACTTAAAAATTAATAATAATAATAATAATAATAATAATAATAATAATAATAATAATAATAATAATAATAATAATAATAGTTGGTCACTTATGTGTCCACTCCTTTGGAGGTCTTCTGACTGCCAAAGCAAGTGATTTAGTCTTTATGGAGTCATTAATATCATCCAGACTTTCCTCAAACAAGCAATTTGCATTTAGAAAACAACCATCCACATACAAGTCCCTCTCTCAATTTCTCCATCCTCCCCAAAAATACATTTAGCAATTTGACCTTCCTCAAGGATGCAACTTTCTGTATTATCTTCAGCAGCCTTCTGTGGAGTTGTCTCATTTCTCAGTGGAGAAGCTCCCTTCTGCAGTATTTTCTGCCATTGCCTTTTTGTAGCTTTAATCTCATAGGCTGCATTCAGATTGGCCCCAAATTCATGACATTAGGTAAAAACCATTAGATTGTCTTTGAGTTGTAATCTTTACTGTGCTGATAAAGACGATCTCTACTGGCCTGAAAATGGCAGATTATTTAATAGCTGCTTCTCTGTTCATATGTGCAGTGGCCTAAGACATAGTTACCACAGTTGAGTTGATGCATGCCAACTGAGTAAGTTATTGAAATTCAGTCATATATCTAAATCCTGCTGTTTGACAAGTGCAGCTCTAGTGAAGACTAGATTCTAACTTGTCTTAAGAGCTGAGAAGATTGGCTTTAAACTAAAGTAAATTATTTTTGACCTATTTAGAGACGTAAGATACCTGGGCATTTTTAGCAAATTCCACCAGCCTACTAAATACCTTTGCAAGTCTGAGCAACTCAAGTTAGAATGTGGGATGGGGACTTTCTGGTGAAGATCTCAAGATGCAAATCTAAGTTCTCTTCATTTGAAGAATATTTATATTCAAGCTTAGCCAGAATCCATTCTAAAAATGAAGTCAGCAATCAAAAGCAAATCTGCACTTGAGTGTTACCTCTTCTCAGAGTCTGAAGCTCTGTTGTTAGTCCAGTAATTTTCCATATAGACATTTTGGGCTGTTTTGGGCTGTTTTTCTATGTGGGGTGTTTTTTTTTTTTTTTCTTTTCTAAGGGGAGACACAGTGAGTGTGGGTTTGTAATTGTGAAACTAACGAAAAACAGCTAAAGCCATTATGACAGACTAGGATTTACTTGCTAGCCTTGCTTAGGTGAACAGCCCTGGCATAGCACAATATACATAGCATGTACAACTCGAGTCAGCTTTCAAAGAAAAGTCAGCTTCTTAAAACTCCTCTAGGGGCTGCCATATAGAGGACTTTAGGAGTTTGATCTTCCATTCAGCAAATTTTGGATTTTATGCATCAGGAAATTCTTCTGGAGTAGAGTTACAGCAATACACTACTGATTATAAACAATACTACATCTTGCAAATAAAGAGATGAAAGTAAAGTTTAGAGCTGGTCATATCTCAACAGAACTGCAAATATTAGCTGTAAGTTACTGTAATCGGAGGCTATCTACCTCGGGTTATGTGTTCAGGAATATAACAGAGTCTGACATTCATTTGCCTCTGGTTTGTAAAAATCCAGACAGAGGGAGACCTGCTGTAAGAAGAGCAGCCCTCTAGCAGCTCCAGGGAAGTAACCCCCTTCAAGGACCAGCAATAGGGGCAGAATCAAAACCAAATGACTGATAAGGAGGGAACTTCATGGAATGCTCTCCTGATGGGGCCAAGCAACACTTCAGTGAACTTTCAGGATAGTCTGAGAACACTGGTTCAACAACAAACCCATACATCCTTCCTCTCTTCCCTTAGGTTTCTAAAAAATTCCTACCTTCACCAAATAATTTCTGTTTTCCACTGACTGATTCCAGTTAAGTGAATGTTTCCCACTTTGAAACCATTCTATCCTGTTCAAAGACAGACATCTCTTACAGATCATATGGAGTCAAAGCCTACCACAAGTTTTTAGCCTTGTGTGGAGCTTGTCAACTTGACCACAAGAGTCATTCCCATACAACTGACTGAAATAGTCCTAGGAAATGGGCTATGGGGAGAGTATTCAGAGTCAATGTGGAGTTTACAGAAATTACTTAATTCCTCTCCCACTGATTTCATACGGCGTTCAGCCAAAACACTTTTTCTGACACCTTAAAATGAAACTCTGGAATTAATGGGCAGCAGTTACCCGGCTCTCCAGTTCTTCCCCAAAGGTGGAGTGTACTTTCTGTGTGCACATGCATAGAGTCCATTTAGCAGATTAAAAATATTTCCCATATGATGGCATGCCATATGGGAACCACCAATACTGATGGTGCCGTGGTGAATGAGTCACAGCTGTCCTTCAAGAATCACGTCACCTTTACAGTGTTGGTAATAAAGAGCTGGACAATAGCAAAGCATGGAGTTCTTTAAGAAGATGATCTAAAGCTGACCTAAAACAGTAAACCTGAAACAGTAAATTCAAAATGAACCATTGACCGAGACTATGCAGATTAAGTCATTCAATTTAGCACAGATTACATAGAGGAGAAAAACACCCTGTTAGTTATCAGAATGCACCAGTGTTTCTAACTCTCATCAAATTGAAAAGTGTGCTCTGGAGAGTCAAAAATAGTGAAATGGAAAAAAAAGTAGGGAAAAAAAAGAAAAGAAACAATAAATTAAGATTCTTGCATTTTTTTTCCTATACAGTCTCTCTTCTGTACAGTCTACAGAACTCAGGAAAGAATTGTAGGTGGATGTGCATATGTGAGTCCAAGGATCCACATATATGGGCCCTTACTACTGTACTGTGAGCCACCTCCCACAATATTTAAGAAACAAACCAATAAAAGAGCAGAATCCCCTTTCTCGTGTTCCTTACAGATGAAGTGTAGAAAAGTGTAGAAAAGACATATTTTTTCAAACGCGTGCATGTTTAAGAGAATTAACTTCTACAGATCTCTTGTGTAGTCCAGTGGAAGTCACTTGTGCCCAAAGCTGCGTGGGGAGCTGGAAACACCAGTTTGATGTTACAGCATTTAATTTATAACAGCCACATGCTTTGTATTTGCACACTCCCGCTCAGAGACTGGCTTTTGCTTTCAAAGTAAAAAGTAGCTATATGATCATCTTTGGATTCTGGACAGCTGAGCTGTAAAAATTCTGTAGTTTCTGACAGCAGCAGAAATTCCCCTGTGGAATTTACTTTCATATTTCATAGTTGACCATTACTGTGCTGCACGTTGCATACACACATTGCAAGCTCTTGGCTTCCCTGGTCTCAAGTGAGTGCCATGAAACTGAAAAACAGTAAACTAAGGGCAAAGTATCTGTTAGACCTTTAATTTACAATCTAAACACTGTGTGCCGGGAGGAATTTTAAATTCAGTTATCAAAACAGAAAGCATTTAGCCTCTCAGTACCCCTCAAGTAATCATAACACTTGATTTTCTCTTTCAGAAACCTTAAAGCAAAAAGAAAACGTAAAAATGATAGGAGGTGTCAGTCTTATATCACAAGGACTCATCTGTTAGACATGATAGGCATAACATTGCCCATGCTTCAGACCACTTCTGCTAGAAAGGAATTGTCAGGACTGTCTCAAGCAAGGAGAGAGGGCTGCAGAATTCTTGATTTCCCTACTAAAAGAGCCAACAACAGTGTCAGGGTCAACTGTGGTAGTTTTATGTGCATCTGTACCACAAAAAACACACAATTAAGATCTGTAAGTCATTTCATGTGGTTTGTGACTTCGTAAAGTATCAGAAGGACTAGGATTCCTTAGAAGAGGCTGTATAGTTCATTATATTTTGCAAATATTAACCAATACCAATCAGGAGTTTTGTATTGCAAGTTGTACCAGCTATTTCAGCCCTGACGCTGACTCTCATTTCCCTCCATGTCCACCCAAAGGTTCCCAGAATTAATACCAAGGAGAAATTCATTTTTTTTTTTTTTTACTTTTCTCTTGACAGACTGTAGGTTGCTTTGGGATTATGTTTATCAGCTGCTTTCTGACAGCCGGTACGAGAACTTCATCCGATGGGAAGATAAGGAATCCAAAATATTTCGGATAGTGGATCCCAACGGGCTGGCCCGTCTGTGGGGAAACCACAAGGTAAGAGAGCAATGGGATTTTCCTCCCATGGCACATCACCTTTTAACATCAGAGGGTTCACTTATAAACAGAAAAAAAGTAAAAGAGCACATACATATAAAGTACTTTTGAAAAGCTGTAATTTTTCATTCCATACACATTAGAAATAGAAAGCATACAGCCTCAAGTACTCAAGCTTATCATTTATATAAAGCACCTGTTTGTTCAGTTTAAAGACACTTAGTTTTAAACACATTTAATGATAAAGTTACAAGAAAGACAAGAAGTAACAGTCCTTCTCTCTCAAGGAATCTTACTTCTTCCTGGAATACGATGCTAGGAATGTTCTGGTTAGATGTGGTCTATGAGGAGCTGCAGTATATATCAAAGGGAGCTTGCTTTCTGTGTTCATTTCTGTACCAACATTCAAATTTTGCAAAGAAGCAAATATTGCCTATTGATAGACACCAGATGATGTAGGATTTCTTTATAAGAGGATGATCCTGCTTCATTTACTTTAAAGCAGTTATTGATTAAGAGAAGTCCTATTTGCAGTTTGGGACTGACTGTATATATATATGTCATGAGCAGTCAGCATCAGGGAAAGGGGAAGTCATGCTTGATCAACCTGGTAGCCATCTGTGATGAAATGACTAGCTCAGTGGTTGAGGGACAAACACTGGGTGCTGTTTTTCCTGATTTCAGTACAGCTTTTGACATTATCTACCATAATATTGTCATAGACAAACTAATGAAGTTTGTACTAGGTAAGTGAACAGAGAGGTGGACTAAAAACTGGCTGATCAAAACCTGACTGGACAATGCTGTAGTTGATCCTGCTCTGAGTCTGTCTTGGATTATCACTCTTGCAATGGAGATGTCTGAACTTACCCCTTCCTCCACCTCCGGCCATGACAATCAGGCCATATCATCATGTCTCAGGTTGGGTGTCTCAGTCAGAAGCAATTTCATATTGCTAGTCACTTGGGAAACAACACTAACCTTTTAATGCACAAGAGCCAGAAATTGCACACATCCTATTTCAGGAGGGTTCCAAATGAGTGAAGACTGGGTTGTTGCAAAGAAAATACCATCATTCTTGTATTGAAGCACCATAACTGTTTCCAGGGCCTCTCTTAGCAGAGGTCTCGAGTTTGCAGCAAACAGAGAAGGTCTATTCTTAAGGGGCATTTTAGAGAGATAGATCAGTCTTGGTTAATGTAAAGCCAGGTCAACACTGCAGACTTCTGCCTGATCCTGGACTGAGAGAGCTGTGCCAAGCTAAGCTGCTAACATGGATGTTTTCAGAGCAAAAGCATGCTTCTGCTAGTTTGGCTTGTTTTGCCCGTGGCAGTGAGGCAGCTTTATAATCCTGCAAACACAGCCTTGCCAGGATACTTGTCTCTATGCTGCAGATTTCTTTGTCAGTATAGCATCCCATACACTCTATACCAGAAGAATGATCTTCCTAAGGGACTGGTCCCACTGCCCCAAATCAATTGATTACTACAGAGGCTTCCCCCATACAGCCCTGCCAGTGCCAATCACTGCTGCCTTGTGCCACCCACAGCCGAAGTAAGGCCATACTTCAGTCACCCTGCAATGTTCTGGCTGTAGCACTTGGAAGTCAGCAGTTCCCGAAGGGAAGGGGATGCTCAGGGAAGCAGAGGTACAACCCAATGGACTTCCTGATTTATACCAGTATAATGAGAGGAGAAACAGGCTGTCACTCTCTGCAGTGCTCTGTAAGCATTAACTGTTTAATGGAGGAGAATCCCAGAGGAACAGAGTTCTCAACAGGGATTGCTGACAGATGCAGTCTATTAGCTACTGTTCTTTTGCTCATACAAGAGGTGTCACCACTACGTGGTGTGAGCATCTTCCTCCTTTTAATGTCTCCTTCTGTGGCTGATAAAGCCTTCTGTTATGTGTGATCCAAGAAAATATAGAAAAAACCTCACTGGGAATTTTTGGTAGATATTCTTGCTTAAATTGCTCTATGTGAAAAGATCCATTCAGTTTCCCTGTTGAGGGCTGGAGGGACAGGATGGGCCTGAAAGCTGGAGAAGAACAGAACATGTCATTTCTTGAACTGACTTGGTTATTTTAGCTAACTGTGATAGTTCTGCAGCTCCTAGCGGGGCTTAGAAAGTTTAATGGAATTATCTCACCATGCTTTTTCCTTTTCTTTTGAAAAAAACAGAACAGAACAAATATGACCTATGAGAAAATGTCCAGAGCCCTACGCCACTACTACAAACTAAATATTATCCGGAAGGAGCCAGGACAAAGGCTTTTGTTCAGGTAATTTTTTTTTTTTTTTTTTTTTGGACAGTTCTGAAGCTGCAGGATGGATTGGTGTCTATGGTACTTTACTACACAACACACAATTAATAGTGGGCAAGTATTTACAAAAGCTGTCCAGGGCAGTGCTTTCCCACTGCAGCTGCACCAGTTTACAAAACTGTAGACATGTGTCAGTGATGAGTGTAGTCAAAGAAAGTCTTTCTACTGGCTTCAGCGGGCTGCAATGTTGTAAAAGACCTTTACTGCATAGTTCATGATCTCAGCCAGACGGCTGGGAAACCCACTCCCAGTTCACATCAGACACAGCTGGAAACTATGCAGAGATCAGATATTCCCTCAACTACATCTCAGAAGAAAAAGTGCTGATGAACATGTCTTCAGGGGTGCAGCCATGGGGCTTGAAGAAACCCTATTTTGAGGAAGAGAAAGGGAACTTACAAGAACCCTTCATAAAATATGAAGCATCTGAGTGGATTGTAAGACCAATAATTTAGAACTAAGCCCCTAAACAGAGTGAAGCAGAGAGTTATTGTACATAATAACCTGGCAGAGCCATTGAGGGAGAACGCCCTAGGTCTGTTCAGACAAGAGCAGTGAAGCTTAGTGCAGGAGTCTAATCCGCAGAGCATTGAACTCAGACCAAAGAACTGCTTTGATGTCAGTGGTCTGGATCTACTAATGTTCTTGGAAATGATACCAGTAGGAAGAGAGTATTGGAGTTTGTTTTTATAAATGGCATAACAGAGCTGCATTAACATTCAGACTATCTACAGCCGAAAAGGTTTCTGTGGAATGTCTTGTTTGTGTGATTTTTTTTTTTTAACTGAACAAGAGAAGCGGGTGAAGGAAAGGATTCACAGACAAAATCAATTAAGTAATTTTAATTGGAAAATTAAAATGAAGGTTGTGGAGTCTCCTTCTCAGGAGATCTTTAAAACCTGCTTGGATGCAGCCCTGCGTGTGACCCTGCGTGTGCAGGGGGGTTGAACTAGATGATCTCTAAAGGTCCCTTCCAACCTTAAGGATTTTATGATTCTATGAAGTGGAAAGTTTTCGTGTGGAAAATTTAAAATGAAGTTGCTCCACAAGCAGCAGGACTAAGGGTGTCTGCATTCGTATGGGCTTGTGCTTTGGGGAGACTTGGGTGTCTCGATTCCTTGGGACTGTGCTTTGGGGGGAATTCTGCATTGCCTAGTGATGAGTGCACTTATCTTGGAGCTTTTCATTTGATGGCAGTACAAACAACCTCTCTTTTTTAGAGAGGACTCTCTTTCCTTAACCAGGCTACCATTTTCTCAAAACAGTAGAAAAACATTACACTCTTGAAAACTCTTTTTTTTTTTTTCCTCTCAGTTTTGTCCCAAATTGACACACACATTCAAAGGTCGCAAGGGATAATAAAGCATGTGCACATGAGCCTCATTTCCTTTAGAAACTGGGGGGAAGAGTTGGGGGACAAAACATTTTTGGTAATTACCCATTAAAAAGTTATTGAGGTATTCTTAGTCCTGTTTATATCTGAAGAGAAGAGGAACAGCTGCACAAAATCAACCCCTTAGTGTGCCTTTCTTGGCTATTTCTCACAAACAAAGAAATAATAAGAAATGTAACTGTGTTAGTAGCATGTAGGCAGTTGCCTTTCACAAATATCTGTACAGAGCTTTTAGTAAAACAGTCAGAGAAGGATCTCCGATAGGGCGGCTGAAAGCCATCTGCAACAAAAGAGGTCAGAGCGACTCTTTAATTCATTAGCATGTGGGTTTTTTTTGTTATTGTTGTTTTTTGTTTTTTGTTTGGTTTGGTTTTTTTTCGTGGGGAGGGGGAGGATTTATTCCAATGCTACTAAACATATTCTTGTTGTGGGTTCTTTGACATGATTTAAAAGACAGACCAGAAAAAATACTCCAAGTGCTGCCATGGAGTTCACACCAGCCCATTTCCCCCTTTCCTGTGTTTTAGGAAACAGAGCAGATAGTAGGTAGGCAGCACGGTGGGATCACTCTCTTTTTTCATTTCATCCTCATGCAAGATCAGCTACATGAGTGTGGGGTTCAAACCAGGGCATGTCTGACCTCCAGGCTTTGGGGAGTTTTCACTGTAAATGCAAGGATTGATTCACCATGTCTGCATGTGAGCTTTTTCACCAGCACAACACCATTTTTATCAGCAGGGTTCTTCCAGAACACAAATTGGAGTGACACAGCAGTGAGTCATCATAGCCATTTTTTTTTTCTAAATACATATGTGCACATGATTTCCAAAATTAGAAGCAGTGGCAAAAGGTCAGTTCCAGGCAGTGATAGGCATTTGTGGAGAGACTCCATTTTTTTCAGACTTCAGCCTGAAAGCCCTAAGCGTTATAACCCCCGAAATGCAGAGATAAGGCAAGTCTTACCCATTAATTTCAGCAGTCATTTTTCTGGGTCAGCACAAGTAACAAGGTATCTGGCAGTTTTGTTTTCACTGGGACAAGGATACTGAGTATGTGGTCAGCCTGAAGTAAAAGCAACTGCTCTGAACCGACATATTTGGTCCTGTTTGGTGATATCCAGGACATCATTGACAAAAGACTGTGAAATCCTGCAGTGCATCCGTCATTTTCATCCGAAATTTTGCAGAAGCACTCACGAGTTAGGAAGGTGATTCGTGTGCCAGCTAGGATTTTGTTCCTACAGTGCCTGTCTCATTTCCTACACTGTCATATTTAGAAAGGAAAAGCAGAGCTTGTCAATGCTATTTCTGCGCAGACGTACCAGAAAGGCCACTGGCAAAGATCAAGGCTGCAGCCTGGAAGCCTGGTGGATGTCCTTCCATTTCTGATCATTGCCATGTCCCCCCAGAAGTGGTTTCTGTTTCCAGTCCCCTGCAGATAAACTGCATCAAGACGTTAGTACTGGGAGCTGTGGCATTCATTTATGAAGGACAATTACTTATTACAATTACACTTGTCTAGAATCACGTAACAGGAGATGGCCTTTGCTCACAGGTTCTTTCTTACAGTTAAGGCCAGCCCAAAAGCTTTTCCTCTAGAGGCTTTCTATTTCCCAGAACTTGTTCTGACTTAGCCCTTGCCTTTTGCCACCCCTCTTCCTTTGGTGTTTCTATTCCTCTTCACTCACATACAAAGCACAAGACTGAAAAAAAGACAAAAAAAAGAGGTAACCTTCTGTCTCTCCACACCACAAAACTGCTCTTGCTTTGAGCAGAAAAGGTCCTTAACATTTCTATAGTCAGCCTGCATGAGTGGGCATGTGGCATATTGTCATCTTAGCCACAGCAATGAAAATGAGGGGAAAAAGATAGTGAATATCAATCCCTGGGTGGTACTGTGTGTTTCAGTTCAAATTCAAAAAAGGGCTAGGAATAAATGCTTTTTATTTTTCTTGATTGCCTTCTCAGGTGAGAAGGAGAAAAGACACCATGAGGCTAGGGGAAAGGCAGTAACTACTAAGTCACTGGGAAGATGCAGTAATTTGGGTGATGCAGAGCTCAGGGACCTCAGCATGTTTATGAAAGGAAGAGCAGAGACCACAGAGAAATCCATTTTTCTCTCTTGTTTTTAGGTTCATGAAGACCCCAGATGAGATTATGAGTGGCCGAACAGATCGTCTTGAGCACCTTGAATCCCAGGAACTGGATGAACAAATATACCAGGAAGATGAGTGCTGAAGAGCAGTGGTGCAACCGCTTCTGTGGGCCCATGGGAGGAGCACCTGCCTGGATGGCCAGCATGGTTTGGGAGGGGTAGCAACGCACAGAGCAGAACTTGGGGTTGCCACTTAGCTTGAAGACCGTACAGGACCTGAAGCACCTTAACAAGACAAACTAACAGACAGAAGTGGTGCTGGCAGCAAAATAGAGGGGAGAAAGCCTGGACTTATGCACTACTTCACTGTTCCTACAGAGTCTCCCTTGAGTTCTTTCTTTCTTTTTGGTTTGTTTCAGTTTCAGTTTTTTGTTTTTTTGTTTTTTTGTTTTTTTTCCCTTAATAAACATACAGTTTGACTTTCCTTATCTCACATAGGACAAGACGTCAGATTTTTCTTTTTTTCTTTTTTCTTTTTTTTTTTTTTCTGAAGGCTTTCCTATGGAAATAGAGCAGTCATTTTCTGTGCAAGTCTCATGATAATAACACAGCATAAAACAGTAGCAACACAGAGGGATTTGCTCAAAGGTTCCAGTTTGTTTGGATCCATTTACTTGTGCTGCCACTGGGAAATGTCTTGAAACTACCAAAAGAATTTGCAACACATATCTATCCAATGAAGAGAAGTCACCCTTCACATATAGGCTGGGACGTCTTCCCAGAATAGCCTGGGCTCACAGCGAGTCCTGCAAGTCACTGTTAACTACTGGCGTATGGACCAAAACCAATCACCTAAGTGCTCCGGGGAGGAGAAAAATAAATGTGACAGACCTCTGCAATAGCCTGATGTTGACATTTTCCCTCCTCCCTGCTAACAAAGAGGGATAACATAGGGTAGGGGGAATATATATATATATATGTATGTGTGTATGTGTATATATGTACACATATGTATATATATTTTATAGAGATATAGATATAAACCCAACAACATACCACAGTGCAGAATTTCACCTAAAAGCCTTCTATCAAAAAGCTAAGGTTGAAAGTTCTGTGATTATACGGGGGAGTTTTTTTCCCTGCACCTGATTGCAATTTGGGGGTAAAGGACTGTTCCCTTACATCTTCGTAGGAAAAAAAGCAAAGGGATCCATCACGTGGTTTGTATTTCTCAGAAACCTCTCCAGGATTCATTTGTGCTACTGGAGATGTAGATGATTCTTCAATCTCAAAACTGATGGTAGAGAGACAGAGGCCAAATAGCTAAACTGATACCTTGTAATTGATCTTGGCTTTATTTTGGGATTTGTTTTTCTGCTGCCAGTGTCCTCTCCCACCCCACATCTCTGCCATCTGGGGGTCTTATCTCTTGCGCATTTTTAATATGATTTGAAAGATAAGAAAACTCTACAGCAATCTTGCTTTCTTTTGTTGTTGTTTTGTTGTTGCTCTTGTTTTGTTTTAACGGGAGGATGCACCATTTGTTTCACCTTCAGTTTGATTTGCAGCACTGAGGGTATTTTGTGTGAGGCAGAGCCATATCTAGTTTGTTGGTGTGAAGTTCAGCAATCTTTAATGCCCAATAATAGAGAAATTTCTGGACTTTCTCATTTTACATTGCTTGTGCCACAAGACAGGAAGGAAAGTCTATGGTGCTCAGGTAAGAAGTAATCTATCATCAGTGGTCCCTGTTATTTGAAGGAATATCTAGCAACTGAAATTGTATTTGCAAAGGAAGAAGATATACAGAGAAACACTACAGGGAATCATATGATGTCTGGAAGAAAGCAAGTCCACACCAGGACATTAAAAACATAAAACCTCTATTATGAGACATCCATAAGAGAAAGGGAAAAAAAAAAACCCAAGGTGATGATAGAGGCACATGATGATAGAGGTTTATCAGCTATTAAACCGACACAATATTTCATATAACCATATATTTAAAAAGGTTAATCTATCGAGAAAAAAAAATGCTATTTGGCAGTGAGTTGTGTCCCATATGCTTACGTAGAGATAGTCCAATTTTACAAAAGCCTTTATTGAGTCACAAATTGTAAAGTCTATGTTAAGGGTAGAGATAGACATCATAGAGTGGGGAGAATTCAGGGCCAGTATCTGATGAAGAAAGAGCATACAGCTCTTCTTGAGCTTTCCACAGGTATATTCTTTTTATCCTCAGTCAACATGTTACAAGTCTCAGCACTAGAGTACTAGACTTTTTCTGCCTCAAAAGAAAAGACGCAGGAGCACAGACACAGCAGAGGCAGGGGACAGGTCATCTGCTACGCTCTGGCTCCCGAGGTGGGGAACTGCAATACACCGAGAGATGTCAGTGGTCACGAGTCTGAAACAAAGGGGCCAGAGAGTCACTGTGCCCAGATATCCATCCTGCTTCAGGTTAGGCAGTTTGCAGCCCTGGCTCAGGAGCAGCTGCTGGGCAAGGCGGCTGAGGAGCATCCTCTTGCTCAATGGCTGGAGGGGACATAAGAAAGAGTCAGAGGAGAATGTGGATGAGAGAGGAAATGCAAAGATCCAAAGTATGGATCTTTGCCACGTGCTCTAGGTGACCCTGCATGAGCAGGGGGGTTGGACTCGATGACCTCTGAGGTCCCTTCCAACCTTCAGCATTCTATGATTCTATGATTCTAAAGTGATCACTGTAAAGAAAAGCCCTTGCTGGTTTCTTCTAAAGGATTCTCAGTGTCGGAAAGAAACAGTGCTGGGAGTTTGTGCTGAAAATAGTTCATATCCTATACTGTTCTCCCTGTGATGGCTGCATGAACAGTTCCTTCCTTCCTTCCTTCCTTCCTTCCTTCCTTCCTTCCTTCCTTCCTTCCTTCCTTCCTTCCTTCCTTCCT